CATTTTTTCTTAATCCAATATTATTGTTGTTATCCTTAATTATATTAACTAACTATGTTTTATTTGTTTTTTAAGAACTCAAAAGTGAAATTGTTAGGCTTTGGCCGGACAGACTGGATATCATCTTACTCAAATATCATTCTATGACCAGTGTTTTGCTCGCGAGTATTCTGGTAAGTAACTAATTGTTATTTTGTGACAAGACCCGCCCCGAAATTTCTCGGAATCTAGGACGGACCCCGCCTAATTACCGACATCAACCCGATGCCAGGCCCACTTACTAAAGAGACTTTCTACCAAAAATTTGGCAGAGTCTCCCCTGTAAATTGAACATTTCCAAATTTCAACCTGTTCAAAATTTACAGTTAATTACAACCAACTGGCAGCATGCTTACAAGCAATAAAATAATTTACAAACAAGGCCTCCAGGCCTCAAAAAATTTAAACCCTCAGCGGGCGATATAGAGCATGTCTACGGAATTCAAAATACAACTGAAGTACCGTTTAACTGAAAGGAAAAAATACCAAGAGTCTCTACGAAGACTCGAGTTCCAAGATGCACCCGGTCCGGCTCAACTGCAGAGCTCAGTCGCTACTGGCTGGGGGCGCAAAACTGAAAGTTGTGAGTAGACAAAAATCAAGTTTAGTTCAAGTGAAATCAAAGTAGTATAACCCCCACCTTTATTAAAACATACAATGAAACCATAAGCATAACGAAACCATCAGAAACAGTATATAAACATGTACTAACGTATATATATATATATATACCGGATCTCAAATCCGTAATCCGTGAATCATGCTTCACGAAACCCACCACTCAACTTAAGAGTCCCGAGAGGTTAGACTCTCATAAACGTACTCAAAGGTACGACCGGCGAGGAAGTATCCTTACCGAGAAATAGAACAAAAGAACAATGCATATATATATATATAAATACATACATACTAATCATATGAAGTAACATAATAATAATAATAGTAATAGTATATAGATATAACCAATATTTCATTGTACCAGGGAAACAATCCAACCGGGGGACTGTTTGACTAGTCCACATGGCAGAGTCATTCCTCAATTCACCGTGTGTCTAGGGAACGAGCCGTCCAACTGGGGGACTAACTCTCAGCCAGCACGTACA